TCCACCTGGGAGACAGACCTTGAAGTCTCAACTTCATCTTCAGGTGGGACCACACACATAAGGTCTAAATGAAGAATACATGTGTATAAGGACCCAGCCTGGTGGGTGGCCAGCTAATGGTAGCACTGAGGTGACCAGCATTTGCAGCTTGCCTAGCACCTTCACATCCCTCTTCTCATCTGACTGGTCTACACACACACAGAGCAGGGCAGGACTATCTCCATTTTACCCAGGAAGCAACTGAGACCCCAAGAGATTAAGTCATTTACTCAGTGATACACAGACTGTAACTCTTGGCTTCTGACCCAGTTCTGCCACTCTGTGAGCTTCCAGTTCGCCACCTGTAACATGGGGGCAAGGCCACCCCTTTGGAGGGCAGCAGTAAAGACCACATGAGACAGGAGGAATGGACACACTTCCAGCACCCATTCTGACAAGCACTACACAGGCACACAATTCCCCAAGGAAGCACATGAAAACTCAAGTTTAGTACAGCTGAGTAATCTGTCCAAGGTCACACAGCCTGGAAATGGAGATGCCAACTGAGCACTGAGCCATCCCGAAAGCACTCGGTGGCCCACGTGTAACAGGGCCTCAGTACCTGTTAGGGTCCCTCCCCCTTCCTTTACCACCCAGGAGACAACCACTGCTCTCTGTGCCGAGACGGCAAGAGTGAGCAAGAGGCAAGTGCGGAAAATCGGGAAGTGGATGCGCAATCACAGATCCAGGGACAACAAGGGTGGGGGAACTCCCCTCTCCCACCCAGAGCTGGAAAAAGGAGTGAGGCTAAACAAAAAGGCTGACCTACTTTGCACACTGAGTAACAAACTCTGGAGTTCATTAATCTAAGCGGTGGTAATGACTAAACGTATAAATAGCCTTTATGCCAGCTCCATAATCATCCATGATAGGAAACGAGAAGGCAAGAGAGGGTGGGCCGGCGATCTACAAATGGCCGACGTCAGGGCTGGGAGGCCTGTAAGGTTCTGGAGTGAGTCCCCAGACAGCGAGGGAGGCCTAGGGACCGAAGGGTAAGTGATCTGCCCGAGGCCGCGCTGGGAGTCAGTGTGGGGAAGGAGGATGGTCTGCAGCGGCCTGGTGCACCCTCCTGCGGCCTGGCAGCCCCCGCATGGAGGCAGGGCAGTACCAGGCTCCCGGTGTAGGTGAAAGAGTCCCGCTTGCTTCGCTCTTCCCCAACACCCCCTGCAAGCTAGGTCTGGGCCTGCCTCCCTTTCCCACAAGGAATTCCCTGGCTTTGCTCCTTCCAGCCCTGGGTCAGCACACAATAGTAAACAGGTTCTCTCCACCCATCTCTGGCCTCTGTGCCCTGGGCCTCTGCCCAACTCTCCACTCGGCACAGCCCCACCCCCCTTGATGTCAGAGGCAAGAAATAGTTCCTTTAAGCACCAGCCTTGCTGGCTCCAAAAAGCAAGGAATCCCCGTCCCCTGACTCCCACTCAGCTAGGGAAAGGCACAGACCAGAGAAAAAACCCCCAGGGCAGCTCTCTCTGACCAATGCAGAGAAGTATGGAGACTATTCGGTCTTCCCTGGTGGCTCGGCGGTAAAGAATCCACCTGCCAGTGCAGGAGATGCGGGATTCATCCCCGGGTCAGGAAGATCCCCTGGAGAAGGAAATGGCAACCCACCCCAGTATTCCTGCCTGGGAAGTCCCATGCACAGAGGAGCCTGGCGGGCTACAGTCCATGGGGTCGCAAAGAGTCAGACACAACTGAGCAACTAAACAACAATGAAAATGGAGACTATTCTCAACTGGGGACATCCCTTCTCCAAGTCCCCACCCCTACCGGGCAGAGTATTACCTGAAACTCCCCACTGGCAACTGGGTCCTCAGCTCACAATATCACTGTGGGCACCATGACTCATATACAGCTCCCCTCACCCATCCTTACAAAACTGCTAGATTTGATTGATAGATCTTATCAATTTAGTCTTGACTCACTGTTTATCTCTGCCAAGACTCCTGCAAGGCTCCCTACTGCCCTCCTTGTTCAACAGAACTTCAGGCCCTGGCTCCCAGGCCTTCCTAGTCCCTCTGCACATCCCCCAGCCCTATTTCTAGACGGCCCTCTCTCTAAGCTGCCCACCCTCACCCCTACTCCGACTCTAATTCAGTCCCACTTGTTTCCCGAGGCCTCATTCAGACCAGCCTCTCATCTCTATAAAGTCCTTCCTAGCCACTGAAGGGACAGAACACAATCAGCACCTCATTACATTCCACACACATCTCTCCAGAGCCTGAGTTCCAGGCCCTGAATCTACAAAGTTGAATAAAATGTAGGTCCTTCCCTTGAGGAGGTCAATCTGGCAGAGGAGACAGACGGGGGAGTAAATAACTAGCCCACACAGAGGTGCTATCACAGAAGCGAGGAGGAGGGTGGAAGGCGCTAGGAGACTGCAAGAAGCCCCCAGGGTAGGGGTGCACGTGTTCAGGGAAAACCTTAAAGGGGAGCTGACTGTTGGCATGATCCTTGAAGGGTGACAGGAAGTGGCCAGGGTGAGAAAGGGGAAATAGCACATCAGGCAGAAGACCCAGGATGAGAAAGCACACGTTAATGGAAAAGAGCCTGGTGTGTTTGGGGAATGTGAGCAGTCCAGTGGAGCGAGTCTGGCTTCTCCACCCGACTGTCCTGTCTGCTCACTGAGGCGGCATTCCAAGAGAAGGTGTGCTCCTGGGGGCAGGGACTCTGCCAACCACTCTCCCCAGTGTGTCCTGACCCTAGAACAGAGCCGGGGGCCTCTGTTAGTTGCTCAGTCGTGTCCGGCTCTTTGTGACCCCAAGGACTACAGTCCCGCCAGGCTCCTCTGTCCATAGGATTCTACAAGCAAGAAGACTGGAGTGGGTTACCATGCCCTTCTCCAGGCCTGCTGCCTAGCTGGTGCTCAATAAACGTCTGTTGACAGATTCGGTCGCTCTGTGACCTCGGCACTCTTAAGTTTCAGCTTTCTCCCCAGTGAGATGGGAATACTATCCTCTACCGTGAAATCAGATGGGAAAAGCACGAGCACAGAAACTGCTTGATGAAGGGCGCTCCCTCCGTGGCCTGAGTCCAGCTACGGATCCTCCCTGAAGCCCAGCACAGGGCTGAGCCCAGATGTGTTTGATGATGGCCTTTTACAACGTTATAATTCTATATTCAATTAACATAATTGAATGTCTGTTATAACCCTTACCAGGCACTTGCTATGGACCAGACGTGGTGCTCAGCACTTAGATTATTTCATTTAATCCTGACAACAAGCATATGAAATAGGTCCTCTAATTATCACCTCCACCCCACCCTTGGGCAGATGTAGAAATTCAGGTTTTTCAGCAAGCCAGTAACTAGGCACCATCCAAGGGGAGCAGAGGACAGCTCTGGGAGGTGTACTCAGGCCCGTCTTCTGCTTTGTCACTCAGCTGCGGCACTGGCTGCTATCCACTCGGCGGGGTGGGTGCAAGCCCTCTTCCCAGGGAGCTTGGAACTCCCTGAACACAGCCACAGGCTGTGTGACGCTTGGCAAGTCACTTTACCACTCTGGGATCTGGGATCTACCTCTGTAAAATGGAGATTATGATGATAATAACCATATATCACGGAGTTAAACACGGCGGTCTTGGTGAAAGCCTGGTCCACCATGCAGGCGCTTCTGCAAAGTGGCATGACCAAGTGACTGTGCCAGGAGGACGGAGGGGGTCACTCAGAGGCAGGACAGGGAGCCCAGGGTGAAAGTTCACGAGGAACACAGGAGGGTGGGGGTAATTGTGAAGCAAACTCTGATTTCTTCCCCAAGTGACTATCTCTACCCAAGAGGGCAGAGGCCCCAGGCAGCCCTACGACTGCCTGCTTTGAATGGAATCTTTCAGGAGACCCACCTCTGTTCTCGCTTCCGCTTTATCTTCACGCCAAAGAGAAGAGGAGGCCCTCGCATCAGGCTCTCAGAGTCAGGGTCACCTGCAGCCCTGTTCCAGATGACTCAATGAGGAACTGACTGGGGGATTCCCAACCTGCCCCGGCAGGTCAGAAAGCTCCAGACCACAAGCTGAGTGGGACTGGCTCCTGTCTTGCCCCCAGGGTCCAAGGGTATGTAGGCAGGCCAAAGGCCTGAAGTAACCCTTAGAGGATAATTCACACTTGAATTATAAGAGTCACCATGTACCACAGAACCCTTACTTGGTGGTAGACACTGCTGGGCACTTTACCAACATCATCTCCTTAGTACTCAAAACCATAACTCACATGAGGCCAGTTCCCACTCCCAACGCCACCACCTGGCCCATCTGCAGACTCAGAGAGGTCACATGGATAGAAAGTGACAGAGCCAGGGCTTGAAGCCAGTCTGCTGGTGTCCTGAACCCAGGATCTCCCAAACTTAGGTTCTCCTTTTTTGAAATCAAGACAGAAAGGGAAGCATCCTCCAAATGTGGCTGGCTAGGAAGGACCGCTTCTGGACACACAGAATCCAGGGCCCAGAAGGCAGGGAGGAGGAACAAGAGTTCTCCATACTATGTTCCTGGGCTCCCTTAGCATCCAGCTGCTCCCACCTCATCTTGTGTGAGGTGCTGTGTGTGGAGGACCTGGGATAGGAAGTGTGCCATCCATTATAACAACTCAACAACAAAAACAGGACTTCCGTGGTGGTCCAGTGGCTGGAACCCCGTGCTCCCAATGCAGGGGGCCCAGGTCTGATCCCTACTCAGGGAACTAGATCCCACATGCCACAATTAAGACTCAGCACAGTCAAATAATTTTTTTTTAAAGAAAGAAAGAAAAAAGCCAAGAAAAACAACTTGAGAAACCCACTAGGAGAAGGATAGACATTTGGAGCTGGACTGAAAGTCCTAAGGCTGGGACAGGAAGAGAGAGGAGTGGCCACACAGAGGCAACCAGCTTTGGTAAGGTGGAAAATTGGAAAGGCAGAACCCTGGCTTCCAGGCACAGTTTCCTTGCTTGTTCAGTATATGTTTCCCTGTCTGTAAACAGAGCAAAATAAAACTTACCCTCCTGAGTTCCCACTGCTCCTGTTAGGATCACTGCAAGGCAATGAGAAAGAAAGCACTGTGCAGGCCAGAGAGCTAGACAGATCAAAGCATTCTTTGATTTGACTGCACTCCCAAAGACATGAGAGCCACTGGTCTGACAAACAAAGAGAGGTCCTCTCCTAAGAGAAACACAGCATGCTGCAAGCTCTGGCCTCTGTGGGCTGTGCCCTGACCACCCTTGCACTTATGAGGTACCTGACAAAAGTGAAGACGAAAGTGAAGTCACTCAGTCGTGTCCGATTCTTTGCGACCCCATGTACTATAGCCTAGTAGGCGCCTCCGTCCATGGGATTTTCCAGGCAAGAGTACTGGAATGGGTTGCCATTTCCTTCTCTAGGGGATCTTCCCAACCCAGGTGGAAAAAACTTCTCAAAGCCCTTTTCGTATACTCCAAGGGCAGTATCAGAATGTTAGAAGCAGAAGAACTCTTCAACTTCATTCAGTAAAGCTGCCTTAGTTTATATGTAAGGGAAACTGAGGCTTAGAAAAATAAAGCAAATTTCTCAAGGCCACAGGGTTAGTTAGGGGCCCAGTGAAGCCCAGGACTTGGGTTTCCTGATCCCTGGTCAGCAGTGTTTGTTTACACATGCTCCTAATCCAGTCACCTCATTTGATCCTCATCATCAGACCACACCTTTATCTCCTGGCCTGCTATGCTCCAGGTCTGCATCCCCAGAGCCTAGCACATGGCTGTACACGTAGCACGTGCTAGATGAAAAGCAAGGAGCATTAGTCCTACGGTCAGGTGAGAGGACATGCTTAACTCAGACCACCAGGTGGTGGAGCCAGCCCTGGCACCTTGGTCCCTGTGTTCAGAACCCTTTTCCATAAATCCCCATGTCTAGCCAGAATCATCTCTAAGAAGTGCATGGTGGTGCCCGTAAGGGCTGAGGGGTTCATGTTCTCATAGGCACTGGACTTGCTTCCATTTCCCAGCTGAGGCACCAGCTCCAGGAACAGAATAAACACTGGAGGTGGGAGGAAGTCAGCCCTCCACTGCCAGGCTGCCTCCTCTTGATCAGCTTTTATTGTTGTTTAGTCGCCAAGCTGTGTCAGACTCTTTGTGATCCCATAGACTACAGCATACCAGGTTCCTCTGTCCATGGGATTTCCCAGGCAAGAATACTGGAGTGGATTGTCATTTCCCTCTCCAGGGGATGTTTCTGACACAGGGATTGAACTAGCATCTCCTGCACTGGCAGGCAGATTCTTTACCACTGAACCAGGTAAGAAACCCTGGAAACCCCCGATGAGATTATGCTGTGCCTAAGAGCCTTATAAACATGCCCCCTTCCCCCAGCTACACACTGCCCTAAGGGAGGTTTTCCATGCCCTCAGGGCTTTCTCCTCTCTGCATAGAGAGGTGGCTAGCTCTTCTGACAGCTTTCCTTGCCATCCAATAGGTCTACCAGGAGAGACCACAAAGCTCAGTTCCACTCACCCACCCCTTCCCAACCAGGCCAGCTAATCCGCTCTCTTACTGGAGAGATACAAAGAACCCCTTGATGGGCCCTGAGCGTGCCAGCCATGCCAGGCACCTTGGGGAGCCCAGGGCTATGACAAAGCAGTCAGCAGCAGCCCACTGTCTGCTTCAAAGGAAGGTTGCAGATGGCCTTCCTTCCCTGTGGTCAGAGGCCCTGGGATGGCAAGGGCCACTTCAGCTTAGCCAAAGCCTTTGCAAGTCCCTATAGGTCCACACAGCTGATCAGGTACCATGCCCTACTTGCTGACTCTTCATCCTCTCGGCTCCAGAACCTTCCAGACCTCTCTGCAGCCCTTCTGGGCTGTCCCAAACTCTCCCAACTGCTCTCACTGCCTATGGTCCAGCTCCTCTTCATACTATCTTCCATGCCTGCACCAGACTGACCTTAATGAAACACAGGAGGCCTCAGTCTGACACTCAAGGCCAGTGACCTCTGCCCAACCCACTTCCCTCCCCTCCCTATGCTTCACCTCATCCTCCCACCTCCCGCTCTTCCTGTCGCCTCTTGGCACACATTTCTCAAACAGCTGGCTTTTCTTCACACACTTCCCCTCTCATATCGCGATTGCCCTTCCTTGCTCCTTCCGAAGCCTGAATCAAATGCCACTTCTTCTTTCTGAGCTCCAATGGGTGGAGCTGGCTGCTTCTTCCTATATATCCCCTTATTACCCACAGGCTTCCTGCCCTGGGTGTGGGGGCCTCAGGGATGGTGAGCACCTGGCACCCTACCTGCTACACCTTAGCAAGGCTTAGTCACTGGATTCGGTGTCAAGAAACAGGTTCCAGTTCTGCGATTTACCAGCTGGCAAACCTTGAGTGCCTTTTTCTCAGAACTTCAGTGTACTCATCTACAAAATGGGATAACCACGCTTCTCAGGGGAAAGTGAGGGTTCATCATGGGTTGGTGTTCACTCCTGCTCACAGGGGATGGATCTCACTGATGTTCATCATCACAGCCAGAGATGGAAAGTAGAAAATGAAAAGACAGGACCCACCAGGTACTCCAATCTCTATGAGGAAGCAGAACATTCACTGGGCACCTACAGTGTTGTCAGGCTCTTTGCAAGCATCAGTTCTTTTAACCCCCACAACAATCCTGCAAAGTCAGTGTTATCATAACTGTTTCACAGTGAAAAACTGAAGCTCAGAAGAGTGAAGCAGCGTGTCCAAGGTCACACAGACATCTGGGCTCAAAGCCTCAGGTGTGAGGGCGAACAGAACACCTTCTTTCCCCTCCCTCAGTGTAAACAGATTGGGAGGCTGGACTGGAGCCAGGCCTCACTGGCCCCCTGAAGGTCCTGTTTCAAACATAGATGCTGGGAATACAAAACATCAAGCAGGTCCCACTGCTTTATCTCTTTCCCACAGCTTAGAGTTTCCTAGCAGGCGGCACACAGGCACCTTCCCAGGGCAGCAGCTGGTGATCTGGCCCCCTCCTTCACCAAGTCAAGTCTTGTCTGAGGCCCTAGAACACCCACAGGGCTACCAAACCAGATTTTCCTTTGAAGCTGGAGGAAGAGGAGGAGGAGAGAAAATGAAGGACATGTGGCCCCGAGTCATAGACCGGGGCCCCACACATAGGGTAGTCTCTTTCCAGATGGGCCACCCAGGGACCACTCCACGTCCAGCTCTAGGCTCTCCTGGGAACTGTAACAGCTCAAGAAAAGAGGATGCCCTGAACTTACAAACTAGAGAAGGTGGTGGAAAAGCAGGGAGGCAGGACCTAGCCTGTCAGGAGGGCCCTGGCCCAACAGTAAGTGGCAGAGACCAAACTATAGGGATGTCAACGGAGCCAGTTACATGATTTCCAAAGTCACAGTTGACTAGGAATAGTGGAGGGCCCAGGGGACAAGGGAACTGAATCAGCAAAAGACAAACTGCTGTTCCAGATGTTTCTCCCTGGGCCCAGTTCAGATCAATTTCTCCCCTAACAGGAAGCCAACACCCACGGGATCCCAGACAGCACAACTCCTCACCTCATCTGGCCTGCAGCACTGAGCACTGAAGCTGGGTGGGAAACTCCAGTTTCGAGGCCAGTCTTGGCAATCACATAGGAAAAGGAGGGGGAGGGCAGGGACCCGCTCCCCTCAGGCCATCTTCCTCAGGCCAGAGACCTGGTATCCACTGGTATCCTTCTGTCCTTTCTTGACCAACTCCAAAGGGACACCCTCCCCACAAGCAGGTCTGCTCCTCCTGTTCCCAAAGTCCTCTGGCCACCCGTCCCTGAGGAAGACCCTTCTTTCTTCTCCTCCAGTCCATTTTGGGCTCCAACAGCTAGCTCAGCTGCGAGCCAAGCTGAAGGAGCCAATGCTATCAGCACTGGGTCTGCACTCCCACCACCACAGGGCCCTTCACTGGCTGGCTGCTTTCTTGCCTCTCCCCACCACTGGCTAGTGCTCCATAGCAGGCAGGGACCAACTCAGGCCCCACAAAGGTTCCCTGCAGAGCAGACTCAAAAGATAGACAAGGTGAAGTAAAGAGAGCCTAGGGCTGGGAATCAGGAGTTCTGGGTTTACTTCCTGGCTTTGCTCCCTACTGACTGAACAGGTGAGGTTAATCATTTCCTTCAGGCCTCAGTTAACCTATCCATAGGAAGATGGCCATCTGTAAGGTGGCTTTCACCTTCCTGACTTGAAATGTGTGTCAGAAAATGTTAACCAATCATTTACTTCTCTGCAGGCCTGAGAAAAAAGTGAATAAGCCTGGTGCCAGGGAATTCCCTGGTGGTCCAGTGGTTAGGACTCTGGGCTTTCACTGCCAAACTGCCAAGGGTCTGTGTTCAATCCCTGGTCAATCCCAACTCAAGATCCCACAAGCTGCAGCCAAATAAAAAAGGCCTGGTCCGAGTTCTGAAGCTCATCAGTCTAATGAAGTGTAACAAAGTGGTAATGACAACAATCTTATCCTTGCTGGACCATCCCTGTGGACCTCCCACACTGCTGAGGGAGTCAAAAGTACTGAGTTAAGCCAGGGAAGGTAAGGGCACACAGGTTCCTGTTAGGGATCTTGAGTTCTGTCCAGGACTCAGTTTACTGCTGGGGCCACCAGGCCATATTAATGGTTGGTAAAGGCAACGGAAACTGTCCTGACTTGGGAGTCAGAAACTCTAGTTTCAAGACCTGGTTCTGCCACTAGTGTACTGTGTGAGCTGAAGCAAGTTCTTCTCTTCTCTGTGACCTCAGTTTCCTCATCGTATAAGAAGTTAGGGTTACACTGGTCAAATTCTTAAGATCCCTTCTATGGGAGGAATATAAGTCTATGATTTTATGATCTACTCACAACAGGCACCAAGCAGTCACCTGAGGAGGTAGCTTCTGATCTACTTTCCTCCCCTACCCCACTAGCCCCTGGCAATTGCCAAAACTGTCTTAAGACAACCTTTGGCCCAGGATGGCTGAGACAGACCTTTAATCCGGAGCCAGAGTCCTAGCCATCTCCACTGCAGCCATCAGGGCTAATGTTTCACTTCTCTGGGCTAGCACATGGACTCTTAGCCTTCAACCACGAGACTGGGTTCAGGGCGGTCACTCTGAAACTTCCCATAACTTCCTCTCTTATGGCCTTGGGCAGGGACTTACTTTTGGCTATTTTTTTTGAACCACAATATTGACTCTACAGGGAACATCCAAGTTTTCAGACACCAGAGATTTTAGGGTGGCCAAGAGGGTTAAGAAAGCGAAGCAGAGAGAGAGGAAGAGACCTGGAATCCCACCTCAGCCCCAGCCCTATAGACACCAATGATGCAGAGGGCGTCTGCAAAGCCCGGGTTTGCGGTTGGAGGGTGGGAAAGACAGATGTCTGGCTGCTTGGTTGGGGATTACAGCCAAAGGGAGGTGCTCCCACTGGGGCCTCTCTCTGTTCACAAATACCAGAGGTATGCCCTCATTTTCTCCTCAATTTTCAGACCCTTAGAAGGCAAAGAAAGGAAACTAACATTTTCCTAGGCCACTACTTGCGCCAGGCACTGTGCTAGGCACCTTTGAATACTTAATCTCTATAGTAATCTTGGGAATAGGTGTTACTGATGCCCTTTACAGTGAGTAAACAGGCTCAGAGATTCAAGCTCTTGCCCAAGGTCACACAGCCAGGAAGTGTGATTTCTTCCTAAATCTGGCCTTTTCCCACTATTTCACACTGCTTTGTACCCTGAGATCTAGTTAACTTCCTGATAAGCTTGTAGTAGGATTCTTTTTTTAAGTAGGAGTTTTTATCTCCCAGAATTCACCAGCAAATCTGAACTCTTTCTTCCAAGCACCCACAAATGCAACTGGTAACTCCTTTCCCACTTTTCTAGACCTTATCCCTCCCAGGACCCTAATCTGGTATTTGCTCTTCAATTCAAAAATATACCCTAAGTCCTCTTTGGGTTCTCACAAGCTATTCCCTGGGGAACTGAGAAAGCTTCAAGTCAGAGTGAAGGATCAAAGTAAGGGGTGTTCTCTGAGTTCAGGACTGGACTAGGCTTGGCTAAGTCTGAGCAAGTGGGAAGAGGCTGGAGGAGACAGATCCAGTGGGTAAAAGACAACTCTCCTTAGGGGAGGGGCCTGCATTTCTCTCCAACTTTCCAAAGAAGGAGGCCTGGTGAATATGAGGCTTTGGGACTGTGGAAAATCCCAGAAGTGAACTTTATGGGGTTGCTTGTGTGGGGTGGGGATCTTACAGATGGTCAAGGCTCTTCCATAAGTCATAAGAGAGGCTGAAAAAGCCCTAGACGATCACAGCTGGTCAGAGAAGGGGAGGAAGGACCCTCTAGAATAGGGTCATGGCTGAGTCCTGTAGGCTTTCCCAGGTGAATGTGTGGCGCTCTCTATTGAAGGGGAGGTACATCTCAAGGGAGGCTTGTAAGTTCTGTGCAGAACACTGGTCTCAAGTGACAGGACAGCTGGGATGTGAGTGGGCTCTGGAGTCCATCTTTCCTAGAGGGATCACCAACCCATACACATGATCCCTGTGAGGACTGGGGGCAGAATGTGGCTGCTCAGCTCACCCCGCTTGGAGGGAAGGTGCTGCTCCACCGTCTCACATTGCTCTGCCTGCCAGCTGGGGGCCCCGGGGTGGGGGGATCTAGGTGTGCTACGAGTGGGGACCCTGCTGTCTCCTTGCCTGCCCCCTAGTCTGCGTTTGGAGAGGAAGCGCCGACAGTCTGTCCTGGAGGTGAGATACCGTCCCCCTGTGGGTACTGGGAAGGGGCAGTGCCTGCCCACCTGTTGCTGGTGACAGGGAGAAACCTGCCTCTGAGGGGGAGGGGGGCACTCTCTGTCCCTTCCATGAGGGGAAGTGACTGTCTATCCCAAGGTGGGAGGGAGGTGACCAATGTCAGTCTATCTAGAGGTCCCTGTACCTTGAGATGAGGGTCAGTCTGTGCCCGAGCGCGGTGGGGGCAGGGCAGCCCGTCCCTCTGAAGCCTAAGGTGTCCCCCTGATGTGGCGGTGGCGGGTGCTGAGACAAGGAAGTCAGTGGGTCTTGTAGGGGGCGAGATACGGAGAATACCGCGCTGTTGGGGGAGGGGAGACCACCTGTGAGCCTGTCGGGAGCTGGCCGAGCCAACCAGCCCTAAGGCGAGGGTGGCAGCGCTGGGGTTGGAAAAGGTATCAGTCGACCTGTGAGCTCAGGTGAGGAGAGCACTCGAGGCCCTTCCTAGGGGCGGGTCAGTCCACCGGGGGTTGGGGGAGGGGGAAGGTGCGGGTGGGGCAAAGGAGATAAGAGATTGTTGTTCCCGGTTGGAAGGGAGACGTGTCTGTCCTTTCTGAGAGCGGCTCTGTCAGCGTCGAGGCACCGCCCCGGGTCCTACCCCGGCCCCTGATCCCCTGGCTCCGAGCCCCGGCGATACTCACGCGCCCTCTGCGCCCTGCGAGCCCACGATGAAGCCGAACTTGTCGATGCGGCGCTCAGCGAAGCCGTTGGTCTCTGAGTCGGAGCCCAGAGAGCTAAGCTCGTCGGTGGCTGCGGCGTCGGGGCCCGGGGCCAAGCTCTCCCTGGTCCCCGACAGGCTCCCCTCAGCAGCGGGCGCGCGCGGCCCGTTCTCTTCGAGGCTCTTCGCCATCCTGGCCGCGCCCGCCGCCTCAGCTTCAGCGGCCACCTCAGCCGCCTCAGCCGCCCGACCTCCGCCGACGCCGCCGACGCCCCGCCCACGCGCCGCGCCCATTGGTCGCCGCAAAGCCGGGGGCGGGGCCCTAGGACTTCCCCGGCGCTTCCTCCCCGCAATGCCCAATGGGTGCCGCGGACCCCAGGGCCCGCCCACCTCCCCCAGGCTGGCGCCAACAGGCCCGACGTGAGGGGGCGGGGCAGCCGTCACCCGAATCCCTCCCCCCGAGCTGCCAATCACAGAGAGCTCACCTGAAAGAGCTTTAGGGCTTTTCCGGATTAGCCTCTGCCTGGCGTATACCTGCAGCACCGCGCAGGCAGAGACCGAGGGCGCCCTCTGGGAACACTCGCCCTCTCCTCGCGAGACCTTAAAGACGTGGGTGAGGATTGTTCTCCCATTCATTTATGAGTAGCTCTGAGGAGATGGGTTCGGGGACTCGCCCAGGGACATGGCAGCTTGAAGAGGTAGGCTGAGATAGAAATTCAGCAGCCTTTTCCTTCCCCTGCTCACTGCTTCTGGGGCCTATTAGGGAGACCTAATTAATAAGAATAATGGCCAACGACTATTGAGCCACTCACTGCCCTGAACGAATTCTACCTACTTTCTCTTATCTTTCCAAGAGCCTTATTGAGATACCGTAAAAATCGCCCATTTAAAGTATATAATTGTGTTTTAAGAATATTTGTATTGTTGTGCAGCCATCACTGTAACCTATTTTTAGAACGTTTTCATCACTCCAAAAAGAAATTCATTCCTATCCTTACCAGTCACTCCCCATCCTTCCTCTACCAGTCCCTGGCAACCACTAATCTGTCTCCATAGTTTTGCTTTTTCTGGTCATTTCATATAAATGGAATCATACAGTATGTGGCCTTGTGTCTGGTTTCTTTCACTTCAGATGTTTTCAAGGTTCATCCATTTTCATTTCTCTTGGGTAGATAGCTAGGAGTGGGAATTGCTGGGTCTTTAACCTTTTGAGGAACTGGCAAGCTGTTTTCCAAATTGGTCACACCATCTCTTGCAATCTTTTAGCAAGGAGGTAGATACTATTTTTAGGTTTTGCTGGTGACTCAGTGGTAAAGAATTTACCTGCTAATGCAGGAGACTCAAGTTCAGTCCCTGGGTCTCGAAAATTCCCTGGAGAAGTAAATGGCAACCCGCTCCAGTATTCCTGCCTGGGAAAGTCCATGGACGGGCTACAGTCCATGGTATCACAAAAGAGTCCAACATGACGTAGCGACTAAACAACAGAGACTATTTAGTCTCATTTTACAGTTAAAGAAACTGAGGTGCAGGGAAGTGATGTCAGCTGCCTGAAGTCTCAGAACTAGCTTGTGGCAGAGCCAAGATTTGAATCTAGTTCTTACCAACAGCATTCTTGGCAACAGGTATTCTTGCCTGGAGAATCCCATGGACAGAGGAGCCTGGCAGGCCAGAGTCCATAGGGTCTCAGGGCTGGACACAACTGAGTGTCTACCACTACTGCTTACCAACAGCTTCTATTGGGAAGCACAGGCTAATAGCATTTATATAGACTTAGCTCCCGGCAGCCAACTTCTGACCCAGGGATTATCAACTTGTAGAATTTTAATGGTAACTCCTCACTTCAGTCCAGTACTTCATGGCTCATAAGTCACAACCATATTGTCATTTGACACTCCCCTGCAGACCTATTGGGAGACAGGCTTAGAGAGGAGAAGGGACCAGAAGACCCAAGCCTGAGCTGCAGAGCCTGGGACAGGCTGCTAAGGGGTCCAAAGCAGCCGTTTCCTTAATGCCTTGTGGCTCAGACATCCTTGAAGACTTCACTGTGCAGTCTTGACATTCCATAGGCTTCTGATTTTCCATAAACAGGGCAATAACAGACACAGGGGTGAGCATGTGCTATTTGGTCTTAAATTCTCAGTCTGGGAGGATGTGTTCCACCTCTCTAGCAGTTCCAGAGTGGTGGGCTCTTAGTCCCAGCTCCCTGGAAGAGAGAGTCACATGCCTGGATCAGATGTGAAGCCCAGGTCTGGCAAAGTATCCACAGCCCTTTGACTGCAATTCTGGTTCTACACGCATATCCCAAACACATTCAGCTCTATGAGGCACCTGTACAGTGATGTTCACTCCAGGGGTGTTTGGGGTGGGGGTGGGCAGGTTAGAAGCATCCAGTGTCCTTCCTTAGGAGACTGGATAGATGTTTATCTCAAGTTAAGGCCTTGAGGCTCCAGCTTCTAATTTTCGTACATAAGACCATCCAGGGGGAGTTCCCTGGTGTTCCAGTGGTTATGATGGCACTTTCACTGCCGAGGGCATGGGCTCTGTCCCTGGACAGGGAATTGGGATCCCACAAGCCACATGGGATGGCAAAAAAAAAAAAGACCACCACCCTTGGTTTGAATCTCTGCTGTAACTGTGTGACCTTGAGCAAATCACTTCTCTCTGAGCCCATGTCCTTACCTGTAAAATGTAAATAAATGAAAAAATGTCTCCTTGGAGTTTTTGCCTTGAGATTTTTAGTATGATAGTATGTGGTAAGCATCTGGCACATGGAAATACCCAGTCAATGGGAGCCAGGAGTGGCAGCATCTGTAGTTTGCCAAACACTTGCAAATTCATTATTATCTTGAGTGTCTCCCACCATAATCTGTGGCTGTAGCAGGAGAGTTTTCCTAATTTTTGGCTTGGGAGACTTCACTTCATGGCTGTGCCCCTCAGTAACTGGATGTTCTCATGCAAAATTGCTTAGCTTGGGACTTGGCTGGCAGTCCAATGGTTAAGACTGAAATTCCACTGCAGGGGGTGGGTGGGTTCAATCCCTGGTCAGGGAACTAAAATCCCACATGCCCTGTGTTGTGGTCAGAATTAAAAAAAAAAAAAATTGCTTAGCTTCTCAGATCCTGTTTTCCTCTTCTAAAAAATAGGAATGTCAGTAACTACTTGGTGAAGAGTTGGTGGACCATCTCTGAAGCCTTCAGCATACAGTAGGTACTAAATAAATGTTACAGTTCTTTACTTCTGGCTCCAGAGCTCTTTAACTTATCTCATGTTACTCTAGTAACTCTGGGGGAGGGGTGGACAGAAGTGGAGGCGGAAGGAAATGAGGAAGGCTCTCTGCAGTGCTCTGAGAAAACAGAATACAGCAAGCAGGGCAGCAAGCAGAAGGCCCTGAAAGGGAAGCAGGTTCAGAAGATGGTGTAGTTGAATGGAGTAAGAAAGCAGAAATGAATGAATGGATGGTCCAAAGGAATGCCCTGAACAATAATGTGGTTCACTGGAGCACAAAATAAGAGGCCTTTGGCAACACTGTGAAATACCCTGGTAGACCAGCTGCTATATTCTTTAAAGGATGAGAGATGCATGGCCAGACCTACAGGAATGTGGTGAAAACCTGCGAGTCTTATCTTACTGGCGTCATAAGTAGGAGTATATGAGGCCCTGACACAGGCCTCTGGTCAGCACCATCCTGGATCCTGGAAAATGCTCAGGAAATGTCAGTGTTCGCCAGGAGCAAACAGATGTCCAGATATCATAGTCTTTATCTATAATGAGAGCAGAGCTGACGTTCATGAAGTAGATAGCTGGTGCCCAGGAGCCTGTGAAGAGTAAACAAACTATAAAGCTTCTTTATCCCTTCGGTTCAGTTCAGTTGCTCAGTCGTGCCGACTCTTTGCGACCCATGGACTGCAGCACACCAGGTTTCCCTGTCCATCACTAACTCTGGGAGCTTACTCAAACTCATGTCCATAGAGTTGGTGATGCCATCCAACGATTTCATCCTCTGTTGTCCCCTTCTCCTCCTGCCTTTAATCTTTCCCAGCATCAGGGTCTTTTCCAATGAGTCAGTTCTTTGCATCAGGTGGTCAAAGTATTGGGAGTTTCAGCTTTAGCATCAGTCCTTCCAATGAATATTCAGGACTGATTTCCTGGTTGTATGGACTAGTTGCATCTCCTTGCTGTCCAAGGGACTCTCAAGAGTCTTCTCCAACACCACAGTTCAAAAGCATCAATTCTTGAGCACTCAGTTTTCTTTATAGTCCAACTCTCACATCCATACATGACTATTGGAAAAACCATGGCTTTTTAGTTAATAAAGTCTCTCACTGTTTCCATTGTTTCCTCATATATTTGCCATGAAGTGATGGGACTGGATGCCATGGTCTTAGTTTTCTGAATGTTGGGTTTTAAGCCAACTTTTTCACTCTCCTCTTTCACTTTCATCAAGAGGCTCTTTATCCCTACACTGAGGCTAACAGTTAAGACTGTTTTGGCAGACAACGCAAATGGGGTTAGCCCAAAACTGCGGTTAGTAGGTCCCACAGCTTAAAAAAATTCACTTTTTTGTATATAAGCTGCAGGAGCAGTTTGATTCAGAGGTTGTCACCAAGAATGTCAGCCTTGTTGCCCCCTTTTCTCTTTGTCCTCCTTCCTGTGGTCACTTCATCCTCAAGCTAGAACTCCTCATGGTAGCAGCTCCAGGCTCACATGCTTCCTCCATCCATCCATCCAGTGGATGACTCTTCTGGTAGCTTCTGTTCAATGGTGGGAAAGGAGTACAACAAGGCTGTGTATTGTCACCCTGCTTATTTAACTTATATGCAGAGCACATCATGCGAAATGCCGGGCTGGAGGAAGCACAAGCTGGAATCAAGGTTGCCGGGAGAAATATCAATAACCTCAGATAGGCAGATGACACCACTCTTATGGCAGAAAGCAAAGAGGAACTAAAGAGCCTCTTAATGAAAGTGAAAGAGGAGAATGAAAAAGCTAGCTTAAAACTCAACATTCAAAAAACTTAGCACATCATGCGAAATGCCGGGCTGGAGGAAGCACAAGCTGGAATCAAGGTTGCTGGGAGAAATATCAATAACCTCAGATATACAGATGACACCACTCTTATGGCAGAAAGCAAAGAGGAACTAAAGAGCCTCTTAATGAAAGTGAAAGAGGAGAATGAAAAAGCTAGCTTAAAA